TTCAAAAGTGGGCTTAATTATGGCAACTATAGATTCAGTAGTGCATATAAATAAAGAGTTATGCTTCAATTATTGAGTCTGAGTTGCATTAGAGTATATAATTGCAATATAAGAAGAACTCTAAAATCTGCATAATAGATCATTTTTATTGCATAGAAATAAAGCAAATCTGCCTTGTCTTAGAATTATATTAATATTTTATCTACATTATATCTCCTTTTGTATAATAAGTGTTGAGCTGCTGATAGACTACTTTTGTATTTTAAGATACTTTTTTTTGGCATGATCAAAGATCAAGATTAATCATTCCAGCAATGTCAAGAATCTTACCTACCTTAAGACTTTAATACTTGATTTAGGACAAAATCAAATAAAAAGCTTGCTTGAAATTTAAAATAAATTTTATAGAGTTCAGTTCAGCTGTCCCCTCTATAGTTTAGTTCATTCCAGTCTGTCCCTTAAGAAATTAACTCCACCCGGTCTGCCCCCTATAGAGTTCACTTCATCCGCTGCTGTCTCTTATAGAGTTCACTTTATCCCATCCTGTCCCTTATAGAGTTCACTTCATCCCATGCTCTCCCTTACAGAGGTAAGTTCCATCCCACGCTGTTGTTTTTGACTATAATAATATCCATCTTCCTCTTTTTCTCAATGTATTTAGTTGTTATAATCGATTTCTCGCTCGTGAGCTTTTGTTTATTTGGCTGCTGTGCCCTTTTGCTGTTTTTGTCTATTGCTGCATAAAAATGCGGCTTAATTATTGTTTTATGCATATGAAGGGGTGTGTGTTTAAGTTGTGTGTACCTGTGTGTGAGTGTATGTGTGTGGTGGCTACCTGGGCCTGAGTCATGCGCCATATATCACTTTCACTCGCCAAAACGACAACGGCAACGGGCAAAAATCTCAATCAGGCAGACAACCGAAACCAGACGGCATTGGGCGTGTCTCTGGCCAAGGAACAACAGCAACAACAACAACAACCACAGCGTGGCAGGAACTCTCTGTGTGTTGGCCATTTGCATTTAATTGTGAAAAATACACGACTGCCCACTTAAATTCACTTAAAACAGCAGTTGCAGCTGTTGCAAGCCCGACTCTATCAGGTATATATCCTGGATCAAGCCGAAGAGCTGGGCCTATAAAGTCTGTCTATCTGTCTGTGGGATCGTCTCCATTTCGGAATCTACAAAGCTTACAGCTTTAAAATTGAAAATGTTTATTCTCTATCAGCAAGAATTTGGCTTGTATGGTAAACATATGTCCTCCATTTCTATAATCTCATCTTTTTTAGACAAAACTCGCAAATTCAAAGTGCTAGATTGTCAAACTTGGCTAGTAAGTTCTATAACATACATAGAATAAATATTTTACTTCTCGGATACCTACCCCAAATCGCTTCAATCTTGAAGAATAAAACTTATTTTTAATCATAGATCCAACTGCTATTGTATACGCATACTTCCGGAGACCCCTTTAAGCCCTGAAAACGAACGGATTTCCCAAAAAATAGTGAGAAGCAGAGGGGAGGGAAGGAAGAAGCATAGTTGCACGAAATACTCAGCCTTGGCTGAAGCTGCTGAAAGTTAAGCTTAAAGCGATTGCAACTTGGATATTTGTCTAAAAGTTGCGCAAGCTCTTAACTGTTTTGGCCAAAAAAAAAAAGGCAACACAATAGTTTTCTTAAAAACCTTAAAGAAATGGGCATACATCACGCTTTGTTTGTTTTTTGATTGAATTCCGATGCCGAATTTCCAATGCGCAAAACAAATGGCCAAAAGCGAATCGAGTATCGAGTATTTATCTAACTCATTTTGAAAGACTTTTGAAATGTTAGCATTGTGTGTATCTTGCGGTTTAGTCACAAGATTTTCACTTTCATTCGCTGACAAAATAACCAAAGATACTATTTACAGATGCCAGATGTGTGTGTGTGTGTGTGTGTGTGTGTGTTCCATGCGTATGCAAATTAGCTCAACAACGCCAAAGACGGGGACAGCAAGGCACAGATATGAATATATATATATATATATATATATACATATATATATGTATATACAGTATATACCGTAAGTGGCCAAAAGCAAAGTCTCTGCTACAGATATGAAAAGAGATGCGGCCAATACGAGGAGCACTTCCAGCTAACAGCCAACTACCAGCATACGCAGCCGGAAAGCAGTTAACAGTTTTTTTTATTTTTTGGCAAATGAAAGAGAAACTTTATATGCTAATTGGTGCGCACACTTCGACACAGTTTAAGAAAAGCCAACCTGAAACTGATCTGATTATTTGATATGATATGATAGCTGCCTCAAGTTGAAGGTAGGGTTTGTTGGGGGAGTTGCAGCTGTGCATTAATATGACATAGAAAACGGTATATGCGATATTAAAAATGATATCAAGTGTTAATTAGCATAAAAAAGCAAGGCAGAGTACTTTTGGCAACGCTCGACTAGCAGATGCTCTGTAGCCAAAGCCAGGCAGGCGCTGTAATTATTATAGAAATGGAATAACTGAGAAACTCCTTCGGTTTTTATGATATGCGAGAATATATATTTCAAATTTCAAGTCTCTAACTTCTATAGTTTTGGAGATCGACGCATTTTTAAACTAAAAAACCTTTTTGGAAAATTTCTCGAGGTTTTTTAAATTTAATATTCTTATTTTATAAAACATATATTATATGTTGAACAATATTAAAAATACTTAGCAAATATTTTCTAAAATTAAGCTTATTTTTATATTACAGGGATTCTTTCAAACTTATTAACACAGAAGGACTTGGCTAAACCAATACGCCGATTGATGCTGACCAAGAATATATATGCCTTATCAGGTGAGCTGCCATTTTCTGCCTGTAACATACAACTTATACGCCCCTTTGTCACTTGGGTGCTGGGTATAAAGACTAAGCAACAAACTTTATATGAATGAATATCAGATGCATATCAAATGACAACTTCTTTTTATTTCTCCCATTTCTGAACTCCTTACATAACATATATAACCTTAGATAAATACTATTCGAAACCTTAACCAAATTTATTGATAGAAATCTATTATGAATTTTGCTAGCAGAAAAAATTAACAATATGCATAAATGGCAAAGATGTGTCTTTCTAAGGTCTTTTTGTGTGTAGGATTCGCAGTTTATGGCCGGCAAATGTTGCGCAACAAAGTCGAACATAGTTATTTTTTTGGCGATGCATTAATCAGAAACCACGGCGATTATGCGGCACAGAATGCGACACTGTGGGGCACAAAGTGAAATGCTGATGGAATTTGACACCAAGTCAAAACGATTTGGTTTCGGTTTCAGCTTTTGCTTTCGTTATTAATTAAATATTGGAGCTGCTAATGGTCGGTTTTGAAGGTGCGTAAAGTCAGAGTGCTTGGCTATGGCTTTAATTAAATTTGGAAAATTTATATGCCGTTTATGGCACAAAATAGATAAATATCGGTTAGGCTCTGAGGGGTCGCGTTTACTCTGGCAGCGTAGCCCGTGTTACTTAATGACCCTAAGCCAAAAACTGTGAAAGAGAAATGAAAAGAGATGCGGAGAAAGCATCGTCAGACAAAATCAAACCAACTGCAACAATTCGCTAACTTAACAACAAGCAGAACAGGTGAAATACTTACAGTGTGTGTGTGCTGATATGTAAATGCGTTTTGGCTGATTATTTTCGATTGTGCGGTTCAGCTTCATGTAGTTGTTAATAGGCGAAATTAAGCACACGCTGACAGGCTGTTGCCCGTATTCGAAAATTTGCACGCTATTCAAGTTAAATAAACTTGCAATATTTTGGTTAAATTTAAGCAGTTTTTGAATAATTGTTCCGGTTAACTGTTTCTAACCGGTTTAACTGTTTGAAAAGAACGGTTTTAGGTAAAGTGCACTCCGAAATTAGCAACGTCACAAACCAAAAGGTACCCAAAATCACCACCGCAAACTGTTTGCTGTGATAGTGCTGCCAGCTTATTGCATAAATATTTCTAGTAAGTGCTGCCAACTTGTTGTAAACGTATCAGCTGTTGCGTTTCGCGCCAAATTGAGCTGCAGCGCGCATCTGTGTGTGCGTGTTCAACTGCGACTGTTTTATTTTTTATTAAAAAACAACAAAGAACTGACCCAGAAATATGAGCGAAACAGTTGCAGAAACTGCAACAACAGCAGAAAATGATGAAAAAGCAAACGAATCCATGGAAAAGCTGCAACTTGACGATGAAGACGAAAAGAACGTGTCAGCCGAAGATATTTTGGGTGGAGAAGCATTGGTAATGTCGGACAGCGAAGATGATGAGACGTCTGCGCCAGCAGGTAAACAAACATACCCCAAGAACAATGCCCAACGGATGAGGGACAACGATGAAGAGCAAGATCAGGTGGAGAAAGATGACGCACCAAAGCCCAAGAAAAAAATATCAGCGATTATGGACTCCGATAGTGAACAGGAGGAGCAAGTTGAGCCAGAGGAGAATCCGAGGACAACAGCAAAAACTGAAGAAAGGGAAAACAGTGATGATGAGGAACAAGAAAACAATGTGATTCCCAAGCCCAAGAAAAAAGTGTCAGCTATTATTGACTCTGACAGTGAAGAGGAGGAGAAAGTTGAGGTGGAGGAGGATTCTAAGGCAGCAGCGAAATCTGAAGAAAAGAAGAACAGTGATGATGAAGAACAAGAAAACAACGTGATTCATAAGCCCAAAAAAAAGATATGCGCCATTATTGACACGGACAGCGAAGAGGAGCAGCAGGAGCAACAGGTGGAACCACAGGAAGAGAAGGAACGCTCAAAACAAAAGAAAAAGAGCAAGAAACTGGACAAGAAAAAGAAACAGCGATTGGAAAGCGATGATGAGCAAAGTAGCCAGTCGAGCGATGAAGAAGCAAGCGATAAAGAAACACAAAATAAACTTAAAGGGATTGTGGATTCCGAATCCGAGCCGGAGCATAGTAACACAGACGAACCGATGAACCTACAGGAGACCACCGAGACCTCTTCAGAAAAACCTCACAAATCCAAACCCATGCGAGTGAGTTAGGAAGAAGCAGAAGCAAGTAAACAATCTATACAATTCAAACAATCTCCTTTGCAGGCCTCAGCCAAGAAGGCGCTAGATGAGATGCAGGCCATCCAAAGCGAGCAGCAGCGGCTGCATCGTGAGGCACACGTCAGCGTACCGTACCATCAGCCAAAGCCACGCACGCTCAAGGAGTTCCTGAGCCGGCGTACCATAAACAAGCCATTGGCCGTGGCTCTGGCCGGTGGAAGTCCCATGCCCAACAAAAAAGAGCCGAGGAGATCAATGGGTCTGCGCATGACTAGTGAGGAGTTGCAGGCATATGCGTAAGTTACGGCCACCTAAACATCTGCCAATTAAAACCTTAACCACAAGCACGATTATGCAGCAAGCTAATGGAGGAACGCGCCCAGGAGGCCACCGAGTTCTTTAAATCTGAGTCAGAGCATGAAGACGACGATGAAGAGGAAGAACCAATTGCAAAAAACTCAGCTGCGGTGGATATTGAAACAGAGGGCGGCGAACCAAAAAGCCAGTCCGAAGTCAATGACCATTTAGCACAGCCGGAAGCTGAGCCAGCCCCGTCCGTAGATGTTGAGAGTGCTTTAGAACCCACTGAAGCCGAAGCAATGATCATGGCAGAGGCTCAACCCATGACAGAAGCGATTTCACCCACTAAAACAGGGCTGGTTACTGAGATCGTGGAATTGCCCAAACTGGATTTGAGCACACTGAACGTTACACCACCTTCTAAGCCCTCTACGCCACGAATTAGCGAGGCTATACGACGCCTGAAGGATGAGAAGAGCAGCGATGTGAGTCCTTCGCTGAAGGGAGATGCCAACATGGTGATTGACCTGGAAACAGGCGACATGTTCGCCAAGAAGCCAACCGGTGTAGATGACTTGCTGCAACGTCTAATAAAGACTCGTGAGACCAAAAAGCACAAGACTACGGAGACTGTCAAGTAAGTAGGAGCACAGATTAATCAGTTTGCATAGTCTAAAGCTAAAACCTGTACAGCATCTTGTCCACTGCACATGGCAAACTGGAGCTGTCAAAGGTGAGCATACATCTCCACGAAGAGGAGCCTGTCAATAAGGAGCAAAAGCCGGGCGCAGCCTACCAGAAAATGCAGGAACATCTGAAAACGTTGATTACCAAAAAGCGAATGGAGGAGTTACGCAAAAAGCAGGCTGAGGAAATGGAAGATGCAGTTGATGATGCTGATGAAAACGAGGCTATGGATGTAGATGAAGATGAAGAATATGAACCAGAAGGAAAGCCAGGCAAAAGCCAACTGATTATTAATGATGATGAGGAAATTGTTGAGGAGCAGCTCGAAGAAGATGCAGAGGATGATGAAGAAGCAGATGCGGAACCTGAAGCTGCTGGTGGTGAAGCCGAATCCGAACTGGAAGCAGAATCGGAAACAGAGGTGGCAGCGGAGCCAGCAGACCCAGAAGCAACAAGCAACAGTAGCGACAGCGAACCAGAAGAGCAAACACAGACGGGCAAGCGTAAGAATCGCATTATACGTGCATTCCAGGACGACAACTCCGACGAGGATGACGTCGATTTGTTGCAGACACCCAAACCAAGCAATGTGGCGCCAATGACAGCCGCCCAGCTACAGTTATCCGCTCACAAGCTATTCGATACAGAAGTTGAACGCACGGCCAGCGATGAAGAGAATGAACTGTTAGGCTTATGTTCAGGGAGATTTACTCAGTCCGACATGTCGTCGGCAGCACCAACGGTTGGAGCACTTATTAGTCAAATACCTATAACACAAGCAACACCAAACGATCAAGCACCCGATGAATTGGAAGCGCTATGTTCAGGCGCCTTTGAAACGCAACCGACCCCGCTGCCTGAGCCGGAGACCAATCAAATATTGTCCAGCGATGAGGAGCCAGCAGAACATACAGAGACTGAGAAGCCGCGAACAAAAAAGTTGACTAAGAAGCGTCAAAAGAAGAAGGCCAAATTGGGCTTCTCCGACGACGAAGAAAGCGATGAAGATCCAGCTGATAATATGGACGAGGAGCAGCCGGAAAGCGATGTAGAAGAGCCAGCAGATGTGCCAGAAACATTCATCGACTATGACTCCGAGGAGAATGAAATAGTTGTCGAGATGACAAAAAAGGATCGCAAATTGCGTGCGGCCAACTTTATGGAAAAAGAAGCTGAACTATCTGAATCAGAATGGGGCTCAGCTGATGAAGATGAGAAGAACATGGACAGATATGACATTGAGCTGGGTGACGAAGATCAGTTCGACCGCGAGAAGTTGCGTCACGAACTGGGACAGATTCATGCGTAAGTACAGCTACAAAAGTCCATCCAAGATATGACTTTTAATTTGCAATACGAACATCAATAGCCGCAAAATGCTTGACCAGGACATACGCGAGGTGCGCAGGATTCAGGAGATGCTCTTTGAGGATGAAGAAGGTGCCGTACGTCAGCGTCAGTTTCGATGGAAAAATGCCGAAAATGGTTTGGGTTTCAGTCTAGATGATCCACGCAAGGAGAACGCTGACGGTGAAGCCAACGCGGGCAGCGGCGATGAGGAGAACGAGCATTTGTGGCGCAAGATTCGCTACGAGCGCGAGCAGTTGCTGCTCGAGAATGGACTGAAGGGGGTAACCACATGCTTTACTTGTAAACAACTGCCGGAACTCATGAAGAATGTAATTTTTATTAAAAGGAAGCAACAGGAAGCGGCTTGCCTCTATCCCCAGCTGTGGTTAACACCACTGTGCGCAAGCTGACCATTATAACGGCTAAAAAGACAACGGTGGAAGCGAAGAAGAGTTCACCATTTTTGATTTCAAAAAGCGTAAACGGCACACAACAACAACAACAGCAGCAGCGGGCCGTGCGTGGCTCATTTCTGGTGCGGGACAAGGAGACACTCAGCAAACTGGCGGGCATGACCAAAGGCGCAGCTGGCGATATGGACGGATCAGCGGGCACTGTTTCCGTTAAGACGGCCAAAGCCAAGAACTTTGTGTTTGCCACGCTAACCGAGGAGGAGCATGAGGTGTGTGTGTGCCACAATAGCTTCCCATTCCCACAACTCTCTTAATTTCTACCTTTGCAGAATCAAAAACGCAAAGCGGCCGATTTACTAAACAGCAGCAATGAGACGGGCGTCAATTTTATGAAAAAGCCACGTCTGGAGCCGCGACGTGATAAGTGCCTTATCGATCAGCTGCTTTAGTGCAAACAATTAAGTTATATTTAGCTGTAATTAAAAATAATTAAGTGAAAATGAAATATACATATTTTTAAATATAAACTGTTTACTGTTTACAACACTGTCAAACGGCAACACAACCCCTGCGGTCGTTTTGCAACACTATGCCGCTCTCCCAGAATTGTAAAAGAAAACGGCATTTGTTCTGGGAAGCGCTGGCATTGTTTAATGCAAATATCTTTTATTACTCATTGACTGAATAAACGCAAACACAATTGCCGTGCTCTACAGCTGGGCGAATTAACAAAGTGGCATCAACGTCGTATATCACGACAAAGTTCGCGCGGGGACTGCGCTAATCTAATCTGGCGTCTAGCGTGTCGTCTAAATTTACGTTTGGACCGGTGTGCGGGTCACTCAATCAGTCAGTAGCTGTCCAAAGACGCCGCTAGACGTGCGTCGCTGCCCCTTTCTGAAAGCATTAATAAATTAACGAAACAAAAAAAAAAACAAAAAACAAAATGGTGTCACAATCGAAACTAAGCCAAGTGTTTAGCTACCAAAACTGGGTACATGCCGTCTCGGGCGCAGCCGTAAGTATTGCCCCAAAATGGGTGTACGAAAGTCCAAACTCCAATATGCTAAACAAATTTCAATCAAATACTCGCACAGGGCGGCTGCATAGCTATGAGCACATTCTACCCGCTGGACACGGTGCGCTCCCGCTTGCAATGTAAGTTGCGGTATTCCCGGCTAATCTAAAATGGGCTCGATAAGCTCGCATGCGGACGTAGATAAACATTGGACGAGTTCAAACTCCAATACTGCTTAATTTGATATTAAACTGATATCGGGTGGTAATCCGTTTCATGCCCTCTTTACTTGCAGTGGAGGAGGCCGGCGAAGTGCGCAGCACAAAGCAGGTTATCAAGGAGATTGTGCTGAATGAAGGCTTTCAGGCGCTATACCGTGGACTTGGTCCAGTGCTACAGAGTCTGTGCATCTCGAATTTCGTCTACTTTTACACATTCCATGCGCTCAAAATGGTCACCTCGAACGGCGCGCGCGGACAGCAGAGTGCCCTAAAGGATCTGCTGCTAGGCAGCATAGCTGGCATCATCAATGTGTTCACAACAACCCCCTTTTGGGTGGTCAATACGCGTTTGCGCATGCGCAATGTTGCCGGCACGTCCGAGGAGGTTAACAAGCACTACAAGAATCTATTGCAGGGTCTCCAGTATGTGGCCAAAACTGAGGGCCTGACCGGCTTGTGGTCGGGCACAATACCATCCCTGATGCTAGTCTCGAATCCCGCGCTGCAGTTCATGATGTACGAACTGCTAAAGCGAAACATTCAGATATTCACTGGCGGCGAAATGGGTAGCCTGAGTTTCTTCATAATTGGTGCCATCGCCAAGGCATTTGCCACAGTGCTCACATATCCGCTGCAGCTGGTGCAGACCAAGCAGCGTCACCGCACCAACGATGCCGCCAATGGACCAACAACCTCCCAGCAGGCGGGCAAGCCAAAGACGCCATCTATGCTAGAGCTTATGGTCGGCATACTGCAGCATCAGGGCATCGGCGGCCTCTTCCGCGGCCTTGAGGCCAAAATACTGCAGACCGTGTTGACTGCGGCGCTTATGTTTATGGCCTATGAGAAGATAGCCGGCATTGTGAAGCTGCTACTTAAGCGCACAGCTTAAGAGGATCTAGTCTAGTCTAGCTATAATAGTTTAGCTCTTAACACAACATGACATGGCGGTGGATATTGATACGGGCACGGACACGGACACGGAAACACACGTACACACTCCAAAGTTAGCCAATAAGTGTGAATGTTTATCCAATAAGAAAGCACACACGATTTAACAAAATTATTAGTAAATTTTATTAGTTAGCAGCGACAACAGTCTCAATAGATTTCGTTGTATTCTCAGCGGGCGTCTCAGGCTCATCGTCTTGCGCCTCTGACTCCTTGTCTTCCTTCTGCTCGTCAGATTCGTTGGTCTTTGTTTCGCCTTCGGCACTTGTCTTCTGTCCACTGGCATTCGCCAGCTCCGATAAATTGTACTTCTTGAATTCCAAGTAGTTGTCAATAACGCTGAGCAGGCAAAAGCCTCTCAGTACTTCCACAACGATTGACTTCTTGGCGTTCTGCAGATCTACCTTGTTGCCCATATTCTTGGAATTGACCAGTTCGGCCAGTTCTTTGATTATGGGATCACGTTTGATTTGGTTATTGTAGCGATGATTGAATATGATGCCATATGTTGTGGGCTCCTTGAGAAAGTGTTTGTCGAACAGCGCTCCGGCTGTGTTGATTATGTCCGGCATATTGGAACGGCACACAGCCTCGATGGGCACCATGCGTAGCACAAAGCGTGACATGGCCTTGCCCGTTGCAGTTATGTCCTCAACAATATGCTTGCCAAGTGCCAGTGGATCCTCCAGTTGGGTGCGTATAAATATACAGTTGGTGGTGCCAGTGTCAACGTTTTGGAAGCGTAATTTGCGTTGCTCGAAAATCTGGCGGCATTTGGCCACAGCCGCATCCACGTCATCGCTATCGGCGTCGCCGCCGTCACCATCCTTGGCAGCTTCAGCATCTGTATCCTGTCTGCTCACTGCCTCCGGGCCGTACAGCTCGTCGGCATAGTGGTTCAGCAGATTGTAACATTCGCGCACGCATGCCTTTTCATTCATGTTGCAAGTGACAAGAAATCCGCGTTGGCCAGCCTGCAGAAACTGTTTCTTGCTTTGCTGGAAGTACTTCTTCTTGTTTTGTTTAAATTTATTATTAACCATCTTTGATTTCTTTATGGCTGGCTCCATAATTCGTTCGGTAGAATAAATGGAATTATTTTTGTAACCGGTGCGCAATGGGAGCAAATCTAAGCAGACAGCACAACACTAGTTTTAAAAATACCAGCAAAAGTATGTTTAATACTGCAAAATGCACTGCTGCTCAACACTGAAAACGAGCCGAAGTCAGCTGATTGGCAGCCGTTTCAAATTAAGGTACCGCAAAAGCCGACTTTGAGCATTTTAACCTGCCAATGGGTGCAGTTGAGGCATCTCTGCTGGAGCTCGCCAAATTACTGCCACGGTTTGAGGACATAGCAGAGCTGCTGGAAAACGAAGTTGAAGCGCGTTACATACTCCGGCGAGCAGCAGATCACTTTGCCAAGCAACATGCGATCGACCAGTTGGACAGGCTGGAGGAGGAGGAAATAGCATATCTGATACACGCGTTGGTTGACAAGAACTGGGAGCGTATACATAGTGGACACTTCAGCTGTGTGCCGCTAAAGATACGCAAGATCTATGCCCTGGGCTGCTACTTCAAGGTGATAGAGGTAATATTTAAAGTAGCTTAAGTACAATTTCAAACATCGGCAGATTTTCTTTTTGCTGTTGGAAAACCCAAGCTTGGAACAACGCGAACTATGCGGCACAGTCTTGGACGAAGCTCAGCTGCTGGGTTGCACGGATGAACTGTACGTAAAGTGTAATGAACTAAAGGACGCGCTGATGCAGTACCTGGACGAACATGCTTCAAGCAACAACTCATTGCCGCTGCCCATTTTGGCAGCTGTGGAGCGACGCGCGTCACGCTGTGATATACCCCAACTGGAGGCACCTAGCATACTGGAATTTCGCACGAGCTGCTATCAGGCGCTACAGCCCACGCTACTGCTCAACACGATTAATCATTGGCCCGCATTGAGTAAATGGCGCGATTTGAATTATCTGCTGAAAGTTGCCGGCAATCGCACCGTGCCCATTGAAATAGGCAGCAATTACGCCAGCGATGAGTGGTCACAGCAGCTGGTGAAGCTACGTGTTTTTCTGCACAGGCAGTTTGGCCCAGGCAACTGCAATGCCGATCACGAAATTGAGTACCTGGCGCAGCACGAGCTTTTTGCCCAGATACCAGCGCTGAAGGCGGACATTTGTGTGCCCGACTACTGCACCGTGTCCTCCAATAAGACAGCCGGTGTCGATATCAAGGCCTGGCTAGGACCTAGGCACACCATATCGCCCATGCATAACGATCGAAAGCATAATTTGTTGTGCCAAGTTTTTGGCTCCAAAAGCATTATACTGGCATCGCCAGAAGACACAGCGAACCTTTATGCACACGAAAGCGAGTTTCTGAACAACACCTCGCAAATTGATGCAGCCAAACCGGACTTTGAGCGCTTTCCCCTGCTGCGGCGTGTACGTTTCTATGAGCTGCTGCTGCAACCCGGCGACTGTTTATATTTGCCGCCCAAGTGGTGGCATTACGTGCGCTCCGAGACACCCAGTTTCTCAGTTAGTTTTTGGTGGGAATAGGTGTCTATAGGTGTTGATAAGATGTGTCACGAATGACGTCAGCTAAAAAGACGTGGTTCACACGGCGTGAATCATAAGCTGCTTGATTTTTGAGTATTAATATAAGATAGTTTTTTATTATTACTTTTATAGCCAACAAAATTCCTGGCTGCGGCAAACAATGTTTAAAGTTTACGAATAAATACAAAGATTACAAATAAAGCTTGAGAACTTCGAGATAATAAACAGTAATTCGTTATCGATAACGTGTGTTGTGTACTAAGAACTAAGCTTTTATTGTTTACGGGTGTGTGTGTGTTGGGTTTGTTATGTTGTCAATTTATAATCTTCCATAATCTTGAAATATTTCCATTTGATGCCTTCGCCCCGACCGCCATGATTAAGTCTTATCGTTCTTTAAATGTTTATTTTTTGCTCGCACCGAGCGCCTTCACGCTTAGTCATCCTTGTTGGATGCACCGCCAGCTGCACCAATAGTGATTTGTTTCTGCAGCTTGCTGTATTCCTCGGTGAGCCGATCGTATTCACGGTTCAAGCTCTCCGCCTGCGACTTGACTGCTTCCTTATCCTTCTTTTCGCGATTCAAGTCGGCGGTCAGTTCCTGGACACGTTCCCGCAGCTTGTTGAGCTGGAAAACGAGCTTGTTGTGAGTATTGGCCACGCAGAGATGGAGTATTTAAATTGTGTGTGTGTGTGTGTGGGGAGATACTGATTTTGGGGGAATGTGCTCGGAAAACTTAGTATACTCTGGCGGTGAGTCCTTGCACACGTTTCCGCAGCCTTGACAACTGTTCAAAGAGTTTACGAGAGAGTTTTACTTGGTTTATCTCTATGCTGGCCCAACACTTTCCATGCGGGTATCAACAACAAATTGCCTGGATTGTACAGCTGGTAGTAGCAAACGGTCTACGTGTTAGGTGGGGGCCGTTGGATACTTGCAAAGCTCTTTAAACATGCCTGGGCTTGACCATGTGCAACAACTCTAAACGCCAACTATTCAAAACTCTAGGAGCTGACTCACCTCATTCAGTGTGGTATCCTCGGTGGCCTCCTTGGCCTTGTCGGTCTTCTCGTTGATCAGGGAGCGTGCTGCGGCAGTGGCGCTCTGGGCCTGCTTCATGGAGGCCTCGCTCTGAGCCAGCAGATTGGCCTGTGCCGAAATCAGTGTGACCAGACGACGTATCACAAGAACAAGGAATATCGCAAAGCCGGAAATGTAAAAGTTGCGCTGGGCGCGAAACAGGCGCATGCTGTGCTGCATCTCCACGTTAAGATGCACCTCACCGGAGTTCTCATGGTTGGAATACTTGCGCATTTCGCGAATTGCCTCCAACAGGAACAGCACCAGCACACCCATAATTAGGAAAAAGTATAGATGCGCCTGCTGTGCCAGCATAGACAGGAATTTGGATTTGAAGAAACGATTCCATTTGTACGGGGAGAAAAGGGGTAGCACCAGCAGCAAAACCACTCCAATTTCTGCGTACAGAAAAGTGGCGATCAAAGTCCACACCAAACTCATGTTTGCAAATTTTTTTTCTCCAATAAAAAGTTTAAAGTCTGTTCGATTTTGTTTTCTCGTTTGACGTTTTGTGCGCTGCAAAGAATTTTTTTCGATATTAGTATGAGTACACACGTCCAGTTGGGCTATGTAGCTATTTATAAACGAGTACCGTAAATTGGCTTACTTTAAATAGCTATAGAAATTAAAATACAGCTGCATATGATGAAATATGCGTATTTCTATGCGGTCATGCACGGCCACGTCAACTCTGCCGACTTGTTTCCGAACAGCTTTTGCAACAAGTTGGCAGCTCTTCAATTTAGTTGTAAACAAAAGCGAACAGCTGACAGCCCTGGTTGCCAGGCAAAACTAAATGTGCTTTTGCGCCATCGATCAAATTCAGTTTGTTATTTATTTATTATTTGTAGTTGCCATAGACAAAATGTCCTACGAAAATTGGTTGAATTACCTGCAATCAGCTGAGAAGAATTCAATGATTAGCGGCAAATTGCGTAAAGTGCTCTACAAATTCCCGGATGGCCGGCAAATGGCCGAGGAGTACAATATGGATACGGGCGTTGTGCAAAGACGTGCCTGGCGCAAATGCAAGCAACTAATGGGCGAGCCCGAATGGGAGATAGAGCTTGGTGAGGAGCCACGCCAACTCAATTTTGCTGCCGGCAATAAGCCAAGCTCGGCTGGCGGCGGCGATGCAGACACCATGGCTGCCGGCGAGTTTACACTGCGCGAAAGCAATACGGCCCCATTGCTGACCAAGCGGGTGACCAAGAAGAACATCGAATGGCGCATACGTAATCTACCATATCCGATAGATGTCTACAATGTCCGTGCAGATGCTGAACAACGCGCGATCGTCGTGCGCACTAACAACAAGAAGTACTACAAAGTTATTCCCATTCCTGAACTGGATCGTTGCAGCATACCGCCGGTCCAAGCGAATATCAGCACACATCATCAGTTCAACACGCTCATCATTACCTACCAGAAGCCGGCCATTCTGTGCGAAATGGAGGCGCAGGTACTTCTATTGCTAAAGAACGTGGAAACGGAGACGGACATGGACGATCTGCTAAAGGGTTTGCTGGCCAAATAAAACGCATAGCATGTTAAATACATATAAACTATAATCTTTATATTTAATTATCACGAGCTTAGGGAACTACTTTTGAAAACTTTCGGCCAAGCCAATATAGCTCGCCAGCGACGGAGCCGATGAGCTGGTAAACAATGAATAATCAAATGATGGCAGCTCCAACGGAGTCAGGGAGGGCATATCGTGTTCTGAGCTTCGCTCCAACGTCGATCGGCTGTCGTATTCTTGACCGTCCGACTGCGGATCGCTGTTGACCATGGTCTCAACTTTGAGCTCAACTAACGCAGGCGTTGACACTTTGCGCTCGATGGTGGACGTGAATTTGGCATCAAAGTCCTGCACGGTCTTATCGATGGCTTTGGCCACGGACTGCGCTGAGCCCACGCCATGCTCGGGACGCAGTGGTAGCATGGGGCTGGTTTCTTTAAGCTGGCCGAAATCTTTCAGCTTTGTTAGCCCATGTTGTGTTTTGCGCATCTCGATCTGTCGTAGCTTGCGCTGAAAGTCAAGCGTCAAGGTGTCGAGCACCTCCTTCGATTTTGCCAGTTGTACATTCTTATAGGCGTCCTGCAGGTATATTAGAGATGTCTCTAGCGCTTTTATGGCCTCTTCGTAGCGATGGTGACGCATGAAGCGCTCTGAGCGTCGCTCATGGAAATGCGCCTGTACACATTAACACACACAGATTATATATATAGAAAGTCGTTTAATAATTTTGTTATTTACCAAATTTAGCGGTGCACAGTCCATGATTTATTTCATTTGGTTTTATTTACCTGCGCAGTACGCCACCTGCTTGGCAACTCTGCATCACAGATGATTAATCGATAACTTATCGATACATTGAAAAAATTCAAATTTGTATAAGTACAAAATTTAATAAGATGTCAATATTGTTATATAGAAAAAATAACACTACAGCGGCTTTGCGTTGGCTTGTTTACCCTCAGTGAGTGCTCGTGATGCATGCACAAAAACGGGCACGTTTATGCCCTGAAATGATATATGGATTGTATACTGAAAACTGAGATTTCTTATGGCCCAAATACATTACCTGCATCTTCGCTGACCTCACAAATGCCTTGTTCGAGGTAACTGTAAATATTTTCCGTGCCATGCCAAAACTGAATATCTTTAAGCTACGTTCATTCACGTTGGCCGTAAAACGTAAATTGGAAAACTCTGGGGGTATCGTCTCCACATCCGGATACACTGTTACACGTTTCATGAGCTCGACAGCAAGTGCCCGCTCATTGGGCCCGCCCAATACACTGAGAATATTTTGAAATGCATCGTTGGCCAATTGGCAGCAGACCAGCCGCTTGCCTTGAAATATTTTATCGAGTATGGGTTTAACTGGACACTCGCGCTCCTTTTCGGCTTGTTCGGTCAAAAGAGGCTCCTTGAACACAAAATTGCAGCCACCATTTGTGAGCGCGCTTACGTATGCCAACAGTGTCGTCACATCCAAGTTGAGTTCGTTCGAAATGGTGGCATACTGATCCACATCCAAGTCGGGCTCTTCCAGTGATGCCGTTTGCACGCCCATTTCCTTGAGCTCTTCGTGCAGTGAGCTATCTATTTTGTTGGAGAAGTAGAAGACTACCTGAAAGGCGATTGAATTGCATTAATCGACAATTTAGTTAAGGATTTCGCAATCACCTTGGGGCGTTGGAACATGCAAAAGTGTAGCTCGCTGGCTTCCAAGTAATCGCTTGCCTGATCCAGGACACTGCGGGCGCCAAAGCTGACGCAGCCTTTTGCAGCATCTTCAATGGACTTGGAGTTGCGCGCTATAACCTTAATCCATTTTAGACCGTTATTGGCAACAATATCCACACGCAACGGACTGTCACGCGATTCGAGCGGAAAGACTGCGTTTATGTCGACAACTCCTTGCTGCAGGCGCAGTGTTTTTATAAGAAATTCATAATTGACAAAGTTGCTGCTAGTTATGTGATTCTCCTTTAACGTCTTGGTACGTATAACCTGCACATTAATAGGTGTTACTAGCTATTTATAGACATTTAAGTATCATGGAACAGTCAAACCTTTTCCAAGAACTTAAGTTCCTGCTGTATTTTCCTTTGCACTTTTGAAACCCCAGGTATTTCCTCAAATTCGACCAGTGACTTCTTAAGCTCCTCTCCTAGCCTTATTTTATCATTGGCATCTGCATACAGAGCGTCCTCCATCTCCATTGCCACCTGCTGAGTTTAAGCGAGCAATTTTTTTTATATTTAATATTATTGTTATCGGTCAGCTGTTCGTTCAGGGCTGCCGAACAATATGAATATCGTTATCGAAGTGTTTGCAACTCTGCTAAAAGCAACTCTACAGAGAGCAACTCTGCTAAAAGTGCTGTCAAACGCCAACATTATGCACTTACTTCCACTTTTTCTACGCCGGTGAAGCCAAGCGGTTGTTATGTGAAATGACGCCGCTTATGTGAAGTGAAAAAACTTAATTTGAACGCATCATTGTTAAAATGTGTAAAATAATTGAATAAAATAGCAAAAGGTAATAATCGATGTACTAAACTAAATGAATTTGTTAATATTTAAGTGATAACTGTGCACGAAGGTATCTCCAGAACAGCAGATATGTCTGTGGTTTGGTCGCATTTTTTAACCGTGCAAAGATTAAATAAATACTGCTTACTAGCATCGTTGGGCGACACGAGCATCTTACTGTGGCCCTGGTTTTATTAAAGTAGTACAATTACGCCAAAAAAAAACTATTTTCTGCATATAAAATGTGTCGATCGTTTCTAACCTCAACTTGAAAATTTTTTCCGTAGGCTTAAAATAGTACAGCATCGACATGTACTTGTATAATTTGACGCTCCAGAAAGGCACTGGCGTCACCCATGCGGTGCACGGTAACTTTTCGGGCGGCAAGCAGCAGGAAGTGCTACTCTCACGTGGCAAGTCGCTGGAGCTGCTGCGGCCCGATCCGAACACCGGCAAGGTTCATACGCTGATGTCGACGGAAATCTTTGGCTGCATACGTGCGCTAATGGCCTTTCGTTTAACAGGAGGCACAAAAGGTTGGTTTCGTTTGTATATTATGTACGTGTATGTATATATTACGCACAAAATCCAATTGGGGGCAGCTCTGTGGTTGTGCCCAGTTTGACTTTATTGAACGTGTCTAAGTGCGATATAAATCCAACTTGGCGTCGCATTTGCCATAACCCCAATCACATGGTATGGCGAACTGAAACTTCGAGTAACAAGATATTCTAACATGCAAAAAGTACAGTTTAATACATTCCTTTATAATATTAGTTCGTCAATTTCTCTTCTCATAGATTATATTGTCGTGGGCTCGGATTCTGGACGCATTGTAATTCTGGAGTATATCCCCAGCAAGAATTCCCTGGAAAAGGTGCATCAAGAGACCTTTGGCAAGTCGGGCTGTCGTCGTATTGTGCCTGGACAGTACTTTGCCATTGATCCTAAGGGTCGTGCAGTGATGATAGGTGCCGTTGAAAAACAAAAGTTGGCATATATCATGAATCGAGATACCCAAGCCCGACTTACCATATCATCGCCACTGGAGGCACACAAGTCTAACACCTTGACATACCACATGGTTGGCGTGGATGTTGGTTTTGATAATCCGATGTTTGCTTGTCTGGAAATCGACTATGAGGAAGCTGACTTGGATCCATCAGGTATGATTTACCGTACCATCAGAATATTCTGCATACCCTTGGCGCCTTAATGTTCGGCGACTGTGGCTTATTCTCCATTGACACTGTTTTGTAACTGAGCGCTAGATAAATGTGACCACTGAACCATTGGTGCTGCTGTTAGTACCTAGCAGCACTTCACTGATTTGTGGCCCACATTCTTTTAAAGTTAATTGCCATTTGCTTCTCGTAAAGTTTTGTATTAATCAATTTTTTATTATATTGTAGGTGATGCTGCTCAACGCACACAACAAACTCTAACGTTTTATGAACTTGACTTGGGATTGAATCATGTGGTGCGCAAGTACTCGGAGCCACTGGAAGAGCATGCAAACTTCTTGGTTTCTGTGCCCGGTGGGAATGATGGACCCTCGGGTGTGCTCATTTGCTCGGAGAACTATCTGACCTACAAGAATTTGGGTGATCAACACGACATACGTTGCCCCATACCACGTCGACGCAACGATCTAGATGATCCGGAGCGCGGCATGATCTTTATATGCTCTGCAACACATCGTACCAAGAGCATGTACTTCTTTTTGCTTCAAACCGAGCAGGGTGATATATTTAAGATCACTCTCGAGACGGATGACGATGTGGTGTCCGAAATTAAATTGAAGTACTTTGATACAGTTCCTCCCGCGACGGCAATGTGTGTGTTGAAGACTGGCTTTCTATTTGTGGCCAGCGAATTTGGCAACCAGTAAGTGTAAACGTGACTTTAAAAGTTTTGTATAAGATTTGCTCACCTGCTCCTTTGCCTATAGTTACCTGTACCAAATTGCACATCTGGGCGACGACGATGACGAACCCGAATTCAGCTCTGCTATGCCACTGGAGGAGGGTGAAACTTTCTTTTTTGCTCCACGTGCATTAAAGAATCTCGTCTTGGTCGATGAGTTACCCTCGTTTGCGCCGATTATCACCTCACAGGTGGCTGATCTGGCAAATGAAGACACACCGCAGTTGTATGTGCTTTGTGGGCGTGGACCACGCTCAACACTTCGTGTGCTGCGTCACGGTCTTGAGGTGTCAGAGATGGCTGTTTCTGAGTTGCCCGGTAATCCAAATGCCGTGTGGACTGTCAAGAAACGCATTGATGGTGAGTTAAGAACAAGGATTTATTTTATCTTTGCGCTTATTAAGTTTAGTCCTTAAGTTTGCTAGCAATGAAATGTTTCTAATAATTCAACTGGTGCATTGATGATACTGAACACGATACCCCAAGATAAACAATGATATTGCTATATATAGTTTGCACTAGGATTGTTGATTTCCAAAATGTTTTCTATCAAATTTAAAAATCTCCTTGTACTATACGCATTGTGGCAATATGGTCAGCGACAAGTACTAAGCGTTATTTTATTTATCGACATCTGGCAAAGAAAGTACCAACAATCCTAGTCTATATAACTATGTATAAACCCGATCGAAAAGCCACAAGTTATCAACCACCAGTTCTCTCTTATTTCAGGCGCTTAAACACAGACGTCAACTGTTTGTTGTGTGTGACTATCGAACAGATATAAAAACGAATGTAATCCAATACACTCGTGTAAAATACTTATAATTTATATTTGTCTTTTGTGAAGCGATAGGTAAGGCAACATTACTGCAGCTCTTAAGTCAACAGATACTACAAAATGCTACTACAAATTATTGAAATTTAATTTTAAGCTTAGACATTGAACATGATGTGATTACTTATCAACCGTGTTTCAGCTGAATTCTCCATTGATTACAAATTGATAACCTGATTATTCAATGTCGTAAAATTCCTTACAAATTGTGTATTCTTAAAAGAATCTTTTACTGATGACGAATTCTTTTGTGTTGTGCTCCTACTTTTAGACGAATTTGATGCCTATATCATCGTTTCCTTCGTGAATGCCACGCTGGTTCTGAGCATTGGTGAAACCGTTGAGGAAGTAACGGACAGCGGCTTTTTGGGCACCACGCCAACATTGTGTTGTGCTGCGCTCGGCGACGATGCTCTGGTGCAGGTGTATCCAGATGGCATTCGTCATATACGATCCGATAAACGTGTGAACGAGTGGAAAGCACCCGGCAAGAAATCCATTACCAAATGCGCCGTCAATCAACGTCAAGTGGTCATAACGCTGTCTGGTCGCGAGTTGGTCTATTTTGAAATGGATCCGGTAAGCATTTCCTATTGAGACTAGGCAATAGAATAGAAAAGTTAGTTACTGTGGAGCGAGATATGTATATCCGTAATCTTGAATTGGCTTTTCTCTCTAAATTGCGCTGATGACAAAAACACGAAAAAGAACAATCATGTTGAGACACTTTGTGTCCTGCAGTGCTGAGCATTTATTAGACAATGTATTGTGTTCTTTTTTAAATACTCGTTCTGAGCTAATTACTAATGTGAAATTCCTCTTTTACAGACTGGTGAGCTGAACGAATATACGGAACGTTCGGAAATGCCTGCCGAGATTATGTGCATGGCTTTGGGCACGGTGCCGGAGGGCGAGCAGCGTTCTTGGTTCTTGGCTGTCGGTCTGGCTGATAACACTGTGCGCATACTTTCGCTGGATCCGAACAATTGTCTGTCGCCATGCTCTATGCAGGCTCTGCCCTCGCCAGCCGAGTCACTGTGTCTGGTCGAAATGGGTCACACAGAGAGCACCACCAATGCTAGTGGTGCGGATGATGATGTGCCGGCCCAACGCAGCGGTGGCAGCAATAAAGGCACCATCTATCTAAATATTGGATTAAGTAACGGCGTCTTGTTACGTACTGTGTTGGACCCCGTGTCTGGAGACTTGGCGGATACGCGCACACGTTACTTGGGCTCGCGACCGGTGAAGCTGTTTCGCATTAAGATGCAAGGCGCCGAAGCCGTATTGGCTATGTCCAGCCGTACTTGGCTGTCCTATTACCATCAGAATCGATTCCATTTGACACCGCTGTCGTATGAGACGCTGGAGTATGCCTCGGGCTTTTCCAGCGAGCAGTGCAGCGAGGGCATTGTGGCTATTTCGACCAACACATTGCGTATCCTGGCGCTGGAGAAACTGGGCGCTGTGTTCAATCAGGTGGCCTTTCCACTGCAGTTTACGCCGCGCGCCTTTGTCATACATCCGGATACGGGTCGCATGCTAATTGCCGAAACCGATCATAATGCTTACACTGAGGATACCAAGAATACACGTAAAGAACAAATGGCCGAGGAAATGCGTAGCGCTGCCGGTGACGAGGAGCGCGAACTGGCCAGAGAAATGGCCAACGCTTTCATAAATGAGGTGCTGCCCGAGGATGTGTTCTCTGCACCCAAGGCAGGATTGGGCCTGTGGGCCTCGCAAATACGCTGTCTGGATGCCATGCACGGCCAGACGATGTTCAGTGTCCCGCTAACACAGAACGAGGCCATAATGTCTATGACGTTGCTTAAGTTCTCCGTTGCGGCAGATGGTCGCTATTATTTGGCCGTGGGCATTGCCAAGGACCTGCAGCTGAATCCACGCATCTCACAGGGCGGCTGTATTGATATCTACAAAATTGATCCAACCTGCTCAGCTCTGGAGTTTTTGCATCGCACCGAGATTGATGAGATACCCGGCGCATTGTGTGGCTTCCAGGGTCGCTTGCTGGCTGGCTGTGGCCGGATGCTACGCATCTATGATCTTGGCAAAAAGAAGATGCTGCGCAAGTGCGAGAACAAACACATTCCTTACCAGATTGTCAACATTCAAGCGATGGGTCATCGCGTGTACGTATCGGATGTGCAGGAGTCCGTCTTCTTTATACGCTATCGTCGCGCCGAGAATCAACTAATCATATTCGCCGATGATACCCATCCGCGTTGGGTGACTGCCACTACACTGCTTGATTACGATACCATTGCAATTGCTGATAAATTTGGAAATTTGAGCATTCAACGCCTGCCACATTCTGTCACCGATGATGTAGACGAAGATCCCACCGGCACCAAGTCGCTCTGGGATCGCGGACTATTGTCGGGCGCCTCGCAAAAGTCGGAGAACATTTGTTCATTCCATGTGGGCGAGATTATCATGTCGCTGCAGAAAGCCACGCTCATTCCTGGTGGCTCGGAGGCACTCATCTATGCCACATTGAGTGGCACTGTCGGCGCCTTTGTGCCGTTTACCAGTCGCGAGGACTATGACTTCTTCCAGCACCTGGAGATGCATATGCGCAATGAGAATCCCCCCTTGTGCGGTCGCGATCATCTCAGCTACCGCAGTTCTTATTATCCGGTAAAGAATGTCCTAGACGGCGATCTGTGCGAACAGTATTTATCTATTGATGCAGTGAAGCAGAAGAGCATTGCTGGCGATATGTTCCGCACGCCGAATCAAATCTGCAAGAAACTGGAAGATATACGCACCCGTTATGCGTTCTAAATAGGTGAGTTGGGCTTCAAATATATAAGTGGGAGATATGTTATCTGATGATATAGTAATTACCTTGGGACACCTATGAAATATGCCTTGATTAGTGTAAATTTTGTGAAACTGAAAGAAATTATGTGTGTATATAGATGATCGATGGTGCTCAAATATTAATTGTTGTTTATCATTATATTTGCAGCTAATTTTAGATGCGGAATGGCTCTCATCATTACGTACTTCTTTTTTTAAGGTGAGTTTTGTTTTATTACCACTTTTGTTGAAATTACATTGTGATGAGCTAAATTTTTACCTTGGGACACCTATGAAATGCCTTGATTAGTGTAAATTGATAATTGCTGAATTTCAATTGAACTAAAAATAGAATTGTTTATCGAATAATATGCAACTATTTTAATAACTTGCTCTTAACTATTTGCAGTCTTATATACAACCCATAAATTACGGATCTCGCAAGCGCAACTCACTTGCAAAAATTAAAAGTAAATATAAAAAATTAAATATTCAAAGAATTAATGCTTTACTGTGATGCTTTTTACATATGTTAGACTAATGAAATAATTTGATTGTAAATGAATTACTGAGTTCACAATTTGAAATTAATTTCGAGTCAAAAAGAAAGTCGAACGTAAACTAAAGTCCATTTTTGTTCCTTTTTACGCAGCTCTTGCGCTTTGGATCCTTTGGGTAATCGATCAAGTAACTTAAATATTTACTAGGTGAATAATTGAAATCAAATAAACATGAATTTAAAATTTACTAATTTGATTCTTTTATCCCATTGCAGTTTATATGTGTAATTATTTGTATTTAAGCGTAATATGCACATAATACACACAATACACAACCACTAAATGACTGCCTATTTATACTACATTTAATTTGTTGCACAAATTCAAACATTTGTGCAACAAATTTAATAGCCACACACGCTATGTAATTTAAGCCTGATATTATAATAATAAATGTACACAAAGCACAAAAGTGGACTGTAATTTAAATATACCCGTTTGTGCCTTGTTAGTAATGATGTTTGGCTAGTTCTTGTTCTTGGCCTTGTTACGCGGCACACTTTACCGTTGTGTTCGCTGTGGCATGCCACGAATATATATCTGCTAAACGTCTTGTTTTCTCTGCTCATCTCTCTCTCTCTGTAGCAATCAAATTGTTGTAATTTGTTATGTACAGAGTTATAAGCCCATGGTAGTTATGCAAATTACGTGCCTCTAACACAGACTTGGACAACGGCGGTGGTCGTCGACGTCGTCGCTGGCCAAAAGAGGCCATAAAACAAGCATCCGCAAAGTGTTCCACTTTGTTGATCTACGGATCGATGAGGAGGGGGTATCATCAACTAGCTGGCGCTGCGGCATCTGGCTAAACGATTTATTAACTTCATTTCTAGATCATTAGATCGCATAACACGGACATTCATCACTTGTGTTTGCAACTTTTTGTTGCACATTTCCAGAACGTGAGCAAAACACGCAAGCATGCAACAACAACAGCAACAACAACAACAACAACGAGTAGCAGCCGTCTCTAGGCTGCAGCTACGCATGCAATTCATGCCACATGCAGCTGCAGCTTGGCGATCGCGCCATCGATAAGCACAATCAACGCTTGGCGCAAACACTTGCCACATGTTGCCTGCTGTGCCCTACTACAAACACGCCCACTTTTTTGTTTGGCCTGGAAGCTGTTGCCTTTTGTGGAATGCGTTCAGCGACCAAGCAGAAGAGCAGATGCCCAGTTGCAGATAAAGCAAACGCACTCTGTCTCAGTCCCTGGGATGATGTCCACATGCCTTGCTTGGGCTTTTGGGTTTGTGTGGGGCGTTGTTGCCTTTATCAGCGCCTGGCGATCAACGATCTGAGCATCAACATCGGACTCCACTTGCCTCTGCTGCAGATGCTTATCAAAATGTGCCTCGCGTGATAAAAAAGAAAAAAAAGTTCGCATGAAACGCGCTCCACACTTGAAAATGGAAATGGGTGTTAACGCAGCAACTTTTCAGCTGTCCCCGCGGCTTGCGTGTAAGAATTTTCTGCGAATTCGCTGAGATTTTAATCGGTTAGATGTCTGGAGCTTGAGCTGGTGCTGGAGCTGGACCTGCATTCGAAGAACGGCGCTGGTCGTGGCCGTGGCCGACACTTTCGCTGTAAATTAAATGCTCATTTTCCGAATGCGGCCGGGCCAACATTTTCCAGTCACGTCGTTTCACAGTTAGCAGCTTTATTAAAACTAACGGCAAGCCAAATAATTAAAACGCAGCGCAGCAAAAAATAAAAAAGAGGAATTGCAAATTGCGGGCCATGTAATAAATAGAATCATCAGCTTGGCAGTCAGCCAGCCAGTCAGTGCAGCGCGGTCAGCCAGCCAGACAGTTAAAAGTCAGGGTCTGGGTCTGTGGCTGTCTTACCGCCATCATGATCATCATCATCTTCACTAACAACATCATAATTAACATCATAATCAACATCATCAGCAGCAGTAGCCGAAGTAGCAGCAGCATCATCATTTTTAAACCTCTTTTGGAGGGTATTTGCCTCGCGAGATGTGTAGCTCATAGGAGACCTCTTCGGCCCCAAAAAGTATGTATATTTCTGATCATTATCAACAGCTTAGTCAATATATAGTCTGTCTGTTTATATGTAAACATATTGCAAGTAATACATATATAGGATCAGAAATGAACAGTCGTAAATGTAGATCTTGTATGAAGATTTGTATACCCTTGCAGAGGGTATTATAATTTTGTCTAGCATAGAATGAGACATCTTCGATCCCATAAACTAAACTATATACATTCTTGATCAGTATCAACAACGAGTCGATATAGCCATGTCCGTCTGTCTGTTTCCAGCCTCTCAGATTTAAAGCTACCGTTATGAAAAAAGTCCAAACTCGGCATTTATAAGTTTCACTATGCTTACTAACAATCGGCTTTTATTTTATTCTGTTTAGCCCATTGAGCTTTATGGCCAGCCGCTGGGCAGCTGCCTCCGCCTCACTGGGTCCAGCTGTCACTCGCTGAGCTGATGGTGACATCGATGTGAGTGTGAAAAGAATCGAAGGGAACATGCATTAGCAATAACTTTTGTTTTTTTTAGAATGTGTACTCTGAGGTCAAGCGCCGCTTGGATTATCAGCTGGAATGCCGTCACGTTGAGCGTCGTCTCAGCCAGAAGCACATGCTCAACTGGATTGTGGCTAATGTGCTGTCCAGCATCTCGCCCCACCAGAAGAAGGAGACGCTAAACAAGTGCACTGGCGATTTGACTGCCGTGGTTCTGCGACTCGAGTTATACTTTGTCAAATTGAAAATTACACACAAAATGCGAGACGCAGCCAACAATCGGAAATGTACCACAATATGTTTAAATTAATACATCTGTCGTGGAATAATAGGAATCTGCGCCACCAACAGGCCGTGTTTTTGCCTTACCCCACAACATCCATCATCAACGATCAATCATCAAAAATGCATTAATTCATCACACACTTATTCATCCATCACATTTATTAGTCTTCATCTGAGCTACCATCTAAGGACCGTCCTGATTGTTGTTGCTCTTCAAACTCATCCACAACATGTGTCTGCACACATTATTCCACAAGTGTGACCACGCACAGTGGCTTTTCGCCGCTGAAGAACCCAGTGCCCTTGCGCACGGAGGTAACGTGCTTGGCCTGGAGCCAACGCTCCAGCTGCGTGAAAAAGGCGCACTGCCAGGGATTGGCCAAATGCTTCAAGTTGGCCAACGTATCATTTAGATATGGCAGGAAGGTTAGCTTGTTAATGAGTAACTCCTCGATGCTGCTCAGGCTCTCCAGCACAGTGGATCTGATCTAGGTCAGCTCGTTGTGGCCCAAATGCAGCTTCTGCAGATGTCGCATGGGCGCAAACATAAGCACATCCAGCCGGCCCAGCGATATGTACTCCACAAAGGGCAGCGAGGAGAAGGCCAGCGCATGCAGGCGCTTCAGGCTGTTGGCGTTCAAATTGAGTATGCGCAGGCGCGACATTGCCATGCTGCCAAAGGCCTTCTCGTCCAGATACTCGAGATTGTTGTGCGACAAGTCCAGTGTGTCCAGATCCTCAAGCGCTGCAAAGGTGTCTGGCTTGAACTCGAGTATATCGTTCGACTGCCAATACAGCTTGCGCAGCGACTGTACCAGCGACCCCCAAAGTGTCCAGCACTCAGGCTAGCGATGCTATTGTGAAATATATGTCCAGCAACTGGAGCTAGCCTAGCATTCGGTTTTGATTGTCAAAGAGCAGGCATATGTTATTGCCGGACAAATCCAATTGCTGCAGCGCAATCAATTGTCAATTGTGGACGCAGTGCATACGAGAGATTTTAGGAGCATAGCTGCCTCAACGGCTGAAAAGTGAAAAGTGTTTAAAGCGAATTCTCACCCAGGTGCAGGTCCTGCAGTACAGGTATGAAATTATGTATATTGGGATTTACGGGTGAAGCGGTTATTAATTATCAATAGCCAAACGAGTTTGTCAGAATGATTTATTGACTGACTTATTGGTAAGGGCTAGGCCGTTGAAATGTGTATAGTAATAAGACGGGGTTTTAGAGAAAACTGGGATAAAAATCTGAAATATTATTCAAGTTTATAACCTTTTTAAACCCTTTTCTCGAAATGTGTAGCATAGGAGACATCTTCAACCTCATAAAGTATTCGTATTTTTGATCAGTATTAATAGCCTAGTCAATAATATAGCGTCTGTGTTTCTATGTATAACCTTTTAAACCCTTTTCTCGAAATGTGTAGCATAGGAGACATCTTCAACGTCAAAGTATTCGTATTTTTGATCAGTATCAATAGCCTAGTCAATAATATAGCGTCTGTCTGTTTCTATGTATAACCTTTTAAACCCTTTTCTCGAAATGTGTAGCATAGGAGACATCTTCGACCTCATAAAGTACATATTTATATTTGATCAGTATCAATAGCCTAGTCAATAATATAGCGTCTGTCTGTTTCTATGTAAACTACTGGAAGCATAACATATGTTGGAAACTGCGGGATCATGTACATATCTCCTATAGGAATGAACGATCCGAAATTTCGATTATTTCTTGATTAAATTTGGTTGTAATAAGTTTAGGTATAATCCCAGCGTGAGAAATCCCAACATCGGAGCTATATAACGTGTATTATATCTGCCATAGGAACGATCGGTCAAAATTAAATTATTGTATGATAGACTTTGTTGTTTTCCACGATTTTTTTTAAGAAACTGCTGTGTCTTGACCATGCTTCCTACATATTAGCGATATCTTAGTATTGTCGGAATCGGTTGAAAATTTAGTTTCTTTGTGAGATATGAGTGGTTTCTCGAGATATTTTGACCAGCTAATTGCGAGTTGTGTACAATAGTGATTATCTTTATCTAAAGTAAAAAAATGTCAGAAAAAATCAGTTAACAAAAGGATTGTCAAATGGAAAGTGGCGAACCAAAGCCCAGTGTTAACTGCTATCACGATGAGCTGCAGAAATCGGAGTATAAGACATGAAGTAATCAATTCGCTTTGCTTTGTTTACACCACAGTCGGGTGCCTATTTCGTGCCAGCTCAGCTGCCGGGGCTGTGGAGCAGTTGTAGGGCCTTCCACAGCAGCAAGAAGAAAACTGTTTGCAACCGCATAATTGCCGACTGCCAGAAAAAGAAGAAGAAGCTGACGAGGGGAGAGGCAGAATGACACAGTTGCGTCGAAACCTCAGCTGGAGCTCGCTGTCAGCAGTCTGTCGTGGCCAGTTAAATGTACTTATCTACCTTATATGTGAGCTCGCATGCGTGGCTTTAGCTGTGCGTCGACTGGGCTGACCCCATTCAATGTCATTAACTCGGCCCAAGGTCTGTTTGTTTTGGCTTGGCCCTAGAGCTCGCAATTTTCGCATAATTGACTAAAAATTATGAATTGTGACGAGGGCTTTTGTAGCAAAGTCGTCGCCCACTGAACTCATTTGAACTCCACACACACACACACAGGTTGTCAGCAGCTCGTCCGTGTCCAGCTGTTGCCAATTTCTGGTGCTCGCCCGGCGGCGTTGACGGCGATGTCTTCATGCGATCTGCGATCTCTGGTCCTCAACGACAAACCTCAACTGTAAACGTTTCAGTCACTTAGTCAACAATCTGTTGCATCTAATTGTGTTTGCAACAAATTACTCAATCCCGTGTTGCCAAGATGCTGCGATAGCAGATGCAGATCTGACTCCAGATCAACTCTCTATCTCGCTCTCTGTCCCTCCCTCTCTCTCGCGTTCTCTCTCGCTCTCTTTCAACAGGTTTGACATAATTTTCACTTTAGTTTGTTTTGAACAGCGCAAATTGGACTGAGGCATGATCACGATGATGCGTTGAGTAACTCAATCGCAATCTCTTAGTTTACGGCTCCGTTTTTATCTGCGTCTTTAGAAACATGCACTTTAGTGGGCGTGGCACACTTCCGCAAGCAATTTGCTGCGGTTCTTGGGCGGCGGGCATAATGGAGCATTTTAATGCTGAAACCGATGATTAAAATCAGAGCCATAAAAAAGGCTAGTAGTGCGCCGCTGCAGACAGCTTGACGAGGAGATACCCTAGGGCTGTACAAAACTTAGAAATATAAAATTCTTATTTGAATTTATGAAAATCGCATAAAAAAGCGGCTTAGACATGAGAGAGAGAGGCATAGGGATCGATGGAGTATGAAAGAAAAAATGGATAAGAGAGAGAACTGATAAGATTACGAATGCCAAAGAGTGAATGAAAATGTGGGAGAGATCAACTGAAGGATAAAAAGGGATTCAAAGGCGTTACATATATCTACAAGCGGAGCTTACAAAAACTACAGGATATAACAACGAGCCAGCGTTGGCTGACTCCGCCACTTGGAGATGTCGAGGACGCAGTCGCAGTTGAAGCCGCAATTGCAGTTGCAACTTGCCAGATAAGTACGTTGATCAGTCGCACAGATCATCAACACGAACATGCCTCAGAAACGAGCAACGTGCAACAAGCGGCAGAGACACGTCAGCAACGGGCCATAAAAACGGGAGCAGCATGCAACATAATTGAAAGCAATTTGCGGCTGACTGACTGGCCCAAGGAGTGGAAGGGTTGGGCCACAGAGTGAGGCTGCCTTTGAGGTGGGGCCTGCTGCTGTGCCCGGGTGATGAGCAGCCGGCAACGCGAGCGTCAGCATAAACATTACATTGATTGCCCCACACACACACACACACACTCTCGCACACGTGTTGTTTGTCAATGCAATTGGCGCTTCTTCTTCTGGCTGCCCCTCTTCAAGTGAAGCGGGTTCGTGCGGGCTGTGCCACATGCGAGCGAACGGAAGTCACTTAGTTCCGGCAAATAGCAGCCGTTGCCGTTGATCATCTGCACCTGAAACACATTTGATGCAGCCCGTTTTCCCGGCAGCCCCATACAACGCACCCCGCCTCCCAATTGCAGTTACGCAATTGTGCAATGCCTTTGATTTGTGTTTCTCTGTTTCTTTTACCACTCGACTCGTAATTGCAAACAGCTGAGCCACATGTGCCACAAGTCCAATTCGACTTATCGATTAACAAAAAGACTAAAAATTGGGCAAGTTTGCCAAGAGGCATTGTAGACATGGGGGGTAGATTCAATGATCATTAGCATAGCTTGAAAGCATATTTGAGAAGTGGTTGGCAGAATTCAGTGAGGGTCTCTAAAATAGTGTCAACTGCTTCCAATCAACCCAATCAGAGTGCTTTCAAAGTTACAAAACAAAAAAAAAAACAGATGTAATATAAGTACAAGTACACACATAGAATTACATAGGTTGGGCTTATAATAACTTTCGTTCCATATGCTCTATGCCAGTAATTTCTGGGAAAAGCTTATCAAACATTTGATTCGTGCAGTTTAATGAAACATGCGAACTTTCAGACTACATTCGCTTAAGTATGGTTGGAAGACTTTATCGAATGCATTTGAAGGCTGACTCCCAGGGGTCATTTCGCTTGAGCCAAGCTTCGTTGGGCAGCAGCTGAGCAATCTGCTCTGACATGGGGTCTGGCCTCCGATATATTTATATATATATAGCCCATACACGTATTGCACACACAGCTGAATCATGTTGTATGCGATATATAAAGCAACTTCCTACAGCTGTTGAAACTCAGGCACAGCCGGCCAAGTGCGTTGGGTATATTTTGCCGCCGCCGTTGTTGTTGCACAAACAATGAATGAAACGCGTTGTTGTTGTTTTTGTTGTTGCTGTTGAAGTTTATCAAGTTGAAATTGCACAGTTGGTTGGCTGCTGCCACAACAAACCGAAAGCACTCGACTTATAGTTGGGGTTTACTATGGGACCTAACCCATTTGCCAGATGCACTTCCCAAGTTCAATAG